GTTGGCCATCCAAATATCTTCCTCTGTGAAAAGTCTTTCCATATATTATGCCCATTTTGTAACTGGGTTATCAGTCTTTTTCTTGTGGAGGTCTTGCAGGATTCTGTAAATTTAAGTTAGGAGACCCTTATGTGAGATGTTATTGCCAAATGTTTTTCCCCCTAGTTAGTAGGCTTTCTTTTAAGCTTACTTGAAAAAGTTTTGAAGCACACAGGACTTAATCTTTAGAAGGTCCTATTCATTGATGTTATCCACTCCTGGTTGTGCATCCATTTCCTTTTTGACAACTTTCATACTTTTTATGTTCCATGCTCAAATTATTAATGGATGTTTGAGCTGTTTCATTTCATTTTGAGTCTTTCTACATCAGTAAATGAAGGTCCTTCACTGGGTGAAATCTTCATACCATTTGCGTCATTACAACACACTCTACTTGAGGAGAGATCTCTTGCCCAGTTATATCTTACGTGCCTTCCAATCAGAGAGGCTCATCCTCTGCCACTATATCCAACGATGTTCTCCCATTGTCTACAAGGTTTTCCAAGGCCTGTTAGCTCAGACATGGATGGCTAGTTCTGCTTCTCAGTCTGTCTTAGTCTGGAAGGTCCAGTGAACTCTGTCCACCACAGGTGACCCTGCTGGTATTTATAATACCAGAGACATAGCTTCCAGCACTCACAGCAATGTGCACACCACCACAGGAAGGCAGACTCACAGATGAGTCAGACAATGAGTAAGGATGACAGAAGAAGACTTGATGCCTTTGAATTGTGCTGCTGGCAAAGGGTACTGAACACATATCAGACTGCTGAAAGAACAATCCGTCCTGAAGGTGAGTGCAAACAGAGTGCCCCTTAGCGGCAAAGACAGTGAAAGGTCATCTCACTCACTTTGGCCATATTCTTAGAAGGAAGTAAATGGAGAGAGAGTCATGCTGGGAAAGGTGCAAGGTCAGAGAAAGAGAGGAAGACCCTCAACAAGATGGACTAACACAGTGACAATTAGAATGGGCTTGAGCATGAGAGAGATCAAGAAGATGGTGCAGAACACAGGAAGGTTAGATCTGCTGTTCATAGGGTCTCTATGAGTCATCATCAACTCAAGAGCACCTAATTACACAACAACTTTGCTAATAACAAGCATCAACCGATAAGTGGATACAAAGGTAAGCAAGCAGGACCAATAGCTAAGGCCAGCTGAAAGCGACTGCACCCACGACCACACATAGGTTTGTCAGAGAGGAGTTCTCCAAGCATGTGTGTGTAAATGCTATTAATGCATCTGTGGACAGATTCGCATCAACAAGCAACAAAGCCTCACACATTTCTTAACCTCCAACAAATACCCTGAGGAAATGGGCTGCCTCTCACAGGACCCCAGGACCACAGTGTGAGGGACAAATGACATAATACCGTCCAAAGACGATGTCCTACATTCTACTTTGATGAGTAGAGACTAGAGTTTTAAAAGTTTGGCAGTAGCCATCTGAAGTACAACTACTGGTCTCTGCCTGTAAGGAACAATTCAAACAATGAGTCCAAGAGACTGATGGACCACATGAACACCAAGCCCCACCCAATGAGACCAGGACAAGTGGACAGTGTATGGCTACCACTGATGGACAAAGCAGGAGAAAAAGATTAAACAAGTCAAAATCAGAAAAATGACCAGACATGCTGGTCTGAGAGAGACTGATGGAACCCAAACAGTACGGCCATTAATTAATAGCCCTTTCAGCATGGAATGATACTCATCGTCATAGCTCAACTTTCTGCAAGACAAGCTTATAAAGTGAGCAGTAACACCAGGGAGGAGCTCATTCCTTGTTGTTGTGAGGTACTATTGAGTCAAGTATGACTCACAGCAAACAAGAGATCTGAATCCTGTCCTATCCTCTGCCCACCTCAAAATCTCTGACGCACTAGAGCCCACTGCTGTAGACACTGAATCAGTCCACCTGGTTGAAGGTCTTCCTCTCTGTCACCATCTTCTCACCTTTCCAAACATGATAGCTCTCCCAAGAAACAGCCTTTCCTAGGAACATGTATGTAAGACAAAGCTTCATTGTCCTTGCCTCCAAGGAGCACTCTGGCTGCACTCCTTAGAAGGATCAATTACACAGAATCAAAAGGGTGGAAACTGTCCAAAGAGAAAGCTCAGAAGGCAGGAAGGGACAGGCTCGAAGGATGAAAGGCAATGGGAACCCCAGGGTGCAAGTGGGAAGAGGGCTGTTACAATGTCAGGACTGTAATTACTGTCGTGAAAGAAAATCTGTACAATGAGTGAATGGAAAGCCAATTGCTTTGTGAACTCTCATTCAAGTTTTATGAGATACACTAGAAACAATGGCGGAGAGAGAGAGGAAGAGAAGGGGCTGAGGTGCCGTGTGTAACCTTCCTGGATTCAGGACCTCTGCTTTGGAGATTTAGGATCATGGCTTCATGGGAAATCCTAGTCATCGGTCTAATAATATATTTAGTACTTCTTCCTGCTCCTACTTCACACGGTAGTTATATGTTCAGTCTTTGAAGGAGCCACCATACCGTTTTCCAGTGCCTGAGACATTACATGCTTACAGAAGATACCAGCACGACTCCTGGTCTCCATGCACCTGAAGCAGCTACAGAAGAAAGAGAGCCAGGGACAGGTGATGATGGCACTTGTGGCTGATTGTTTCCATGAACAACAACTGCCTCCTCTGTCAGGAAAACAGAGCTGGGTCTACCCAGTGACCATTACTGAACATTTGGATCAAAGACCACAGAAAAAACATCATCAAAGGGCAAAAATACAGAATAGAATTTCAAATTTCCATGGAATTCAGACTTTCTGGAGCCATGGAACCTGGATGGACCCCTGAAACTATTGCCTTTAAAAAAACCCTTATATTTGAAACCAAAAATATCTCCTAAAATGCTCTTAAAACCAAGCAATCCTCTTACTCACTGTAGTCAAGTTGGAAATGAGTCACAATGGGTTTCAGAGCCTGTAAATCACAAAGGAGGAGACTGTCCATTCTCCTCCCACCAAGAGCCCCAGGTGGATTTGAACCACCAGAGGCACAGCCTTTGGATTAGTACCACAATTCCCTATAGTGCAGGCCACTAGGGCTCCACAAACCAAACAACACCTTAACTAGTGAGAATGGCTGTCTAGAGCATTGTTGTGTTGTTGTTGTTGTTATGTGTCATCGAGTCGTTTGCGACTCACAGTGACCCTATGTACAACAGCCCTAAACCCTGCTCTATCCTATGCCAATCGCATTGCCTCTGACACATCCATCCCGATCACCCCAGTCACTGAAGCAATCCACCTCATAGAGGGCCTTCCCCTCCTGCGCTGTCCTTCCACCCTACCAAGCATGATGTCCCTCTCTAAGGACTAGTCCCTCCTTTCAACATGTCCAAAGTATGTCAGATGAAGCCCCAGAATCCTTGCCTCCAAGGAGTAGCCTGGTTTAACCCTCTCTAGGATGAATCTGTTTGTTTTCTTGGCAGTTCATGGTGCATTCAGTACTCTTCTCCAGCTCCACAGATCAAAGGCGTCAATTCTCCTTCTATCCTCCCTAGTCATCGTCCAACTCTCTGATGCATAACAAGTGACTGCAAAGACCATGGCCTGTATCAGGCGCACCTTAGTCTCCAGAGAGCATTATGCTTTTAAAAAGATCTATTCATATAGGCTCAGCAATTTTAAAAGATTAGACAACCACTCTGAAAGGCAGTATGGCATATCCTCAAAAAGCTGAACAATTCCACATGACCCAGCTATTCCAGTGCTTGGAATATACCCTAAAAAAATGAGAACTGAGGTGCAAATGGAGACGAGTACATCAGTGTTCATAGCAGCGTTATTCACCATAGCAAGAACATGGAAACAGCCCAAATGCCCAACCACAATGGAATGGATTGAGACATGGTACATTCACATGATGAAATACGATGTAGCAGGTAGGAGCAATGATTTTGTAAATAACTACCTAACATGGGAGGGACTGGAGAGCACTATGCTGAGTGAACAAACTCAGTTTCATAAGGACAAATGCTGTATAAAACCATTATTGTAGAACGTGTATGAGGCTCCAAGGCAGGGAGGCGGGAGCAGAGGGGTGAGGATGGACAGGAGGCAGGGCTTCACCATAGGGTCATACAATTTGATAGGTGGAGGGAGGAGTGGGTAAAGGAAAGGTGAAAGATCGGTGTGAAAAACAATGTATACAAACTTTTTAAGTAAACAAGTTGTGGTTGTTATGTACCTTTGAGTCACCTGCAACTCATAGCCACTCTATGTATAACAGCTGTAAACTCCACCCTATCCTGTGCCAATCCCACCATCTCGGACACACTTATACCCTTTACCCCAGCCACTGAATCAATTCATCTCACTGAGGGTAATAAAAATTAAAAAAAAAAAGATTATACAAGCACTGTAAGGGACAGTGATATTAAACAGATGAGGGAGGAATGACTCTGCAAAGGAGGGGAAGGCTGTGATCAGTGTCATGGAATCACACACGCAAGAACTGTGAACAACAATAATAAAAGTGAAATGAAGTATAAATGTTAAAAAAGATGCTGTGGCAGAAGCATTACTCAAAAGTTTATAAGGCCATTATTCAATCTAGAGCCCTTGACAAACTAGCAGTTTCTAAATCATCCATACAAATGGATGTTATCTCAGAGATGATAATATTCATCATATTATAAAACAGCATCCAGAAGAGATGCCTGTATGTAAATGCCTGTGTAATTTAGAATGACCACAAGAAGGTGAAGTGACACAGTGACTGCAGCAATGGGCGTGAGCAGAGATGGTGAGGTTGGCATAGGACAGGAGAAGGTTCACATCTGCCGCTCTTAGGGTCACTATGTGTCACCGGTGACTCAACAGCATGTAACAACCTCCCCTGGTTGAACAAGAATTTTGTCAGCATCACTATCACGTGTGAGTCTATACCATCTTTCCTCAGCCACTCCAACACTTACCTAAACATGACTTACCTATAGGCCTGTCCCAGGCTTTTATATGCATCAATAAAGTCAATTTTCTGCTTTAAAGCCTCTTTGAAGGATTCAATAGCTTCCTGTGGAAAGTATAGACCAAATTAACTTAATGAGATTATTTTTTTAATTTTTACTTAAATCACTAAAAGCTGAAATACATATTATATAGAGTATTTGACTAATATTCTTTTAATTTATTATTAATTTCAGTAAAAATTTACAGAGACTTTGGACTTCCATTCATTCATTGTTGTACTTTTCTCCCCGCCCAACCCTCCCCCCAGGACACTACCCTCTTGGAAAAGTAAAAGACAAATTCTTTCACTGTTTTATAAATTCTCCCCCAGGTCCACTCAACCATATAGCCTTCGGTCTAGACTCCTGTCATGACAAAAATACCTAATCACATATCTCTTTTAAATAGTTGTCTCCCTCATCTATTTCAATACAGTATACATTATTGAACCCATCTTTCTCAGTCTCTCCCCAACCCCAAGGTCAGTCCTGTTTTACAACAGTGGCACCATGCAGTATTTGTCCTTTTATGACTGAGCTACTTTGACTAATATTTTTAAATAGAAAGATGTTTTCTTTTTAAAAAAAGGTAAAGTAAAAGGAAATGAGTCAGGAGAACTGAATTTTAGTAAATTAATTAAATACTACAAAAATAATAGAGTCTCCATGTGTCCCTTTTGAAGACAGGAGACAGCCTCTCACTATCTATTTCATTAGAACATTGATTGCTAATGATGTACCCTTTAGAGTACCAACATCTTAGTTAATAAAGGCCCAATGGAGTGACAGTAAACCTAGAGCTGTGTAGTTCATTCATTACAAACACTCATAACTAGGCAGCAGTTAAAATGGAATAGATTTTTTAAAAAAATAAAATAAAACCAAGGGAGTTCTGGTGGTCTAGTGGCAAGAGCAATCCCAGAGGTGCACGGTTCAAATCCACCAGATGCTCTGCTGGAGGAAGGAAAATCTCCTCCTGTACCTGTCAGATCTGATTTGACAGTACACACACACACACAAAAAAATTAAAATAAAATAAAAATTAAAAAATAAAACCAATAAAAGAACAAATCCAAAATGAAATCATCTCTACAGCAAGCAAATATACCCCAGACTGGGTATCTGATGGATTCACAGGATCCACAAGGGAAAAGAAAGAGTAAAACAAAACAGAAGAAAGCAAACCCTTAAGGCCTGGACGTTTAGGGCACAGCTTCTGTTCAGAGCGCAAGGCCTGGGCCGGTGAAGTGTGGAATACTGTGGGTACCAAACATGAGGGGCCACCTCGGTGGACCTGGCCACTACAAAATGACCTGTGGAAACCACTAACAAAAGGCAATGCTGTGTGCAGTAATGAAAATCCCTAGGCTTAACCCATTATTCAATGTATACTTCATTAAAAAATTATTTTC